AATGACAGGTATTCTGCCTGAGGCCCTTTGCATTAGCTGTTCTCTCTGCCTGGAATACTTTCCTCAGACACCTATAGGTCTTACTTCTTCATCCCTCATCCTTTAGTTTCTTTTAGCTAGTGTGTAAGCTCTATGACGGCAAGGATTTTTCTCTTCCACTGTAATGATAGCCAGTTCTTAGAACTTTGCTTACAATTTAGTCAATGCTTACCTGTTAGTTGGAGAGAAAGAAAGAAAAAGTGAAAAAGGAATCAGGATGTGGGAGCCATGAAACTAAATCAAAACTCTTGGATATGAAGACTTACCCATAGAAACGAGGCCTTTGGTTTTCTCCAGATCATTAGATTACAAAGCTGAGAAAGGCTCTAAACTTGACCACATTCCTGGCAACTTCCTGTTGATGTCTTTCTAACCTCTGCGATTTTGTTTTCATTTCTTTTCTCTTGCTTCCAAAATATGCCTTTGCTGTAGTTCTAATTGACTCTCTCACCTGGCACTGAAGGAATGTGACAAATGACATATAATATATTGCCTTAACTTTTTGTCGCGCTTTGTAGAAGCTGGATTGTTTCTCTCAACAGCCATGTTGAGCCCGTCACTGTACCGGGTGCTGTTTGACTGAGAGCTCCCAGCGTCTGCTGTTTACTCACTCGGCTCCGCGCTTGCCATTCTGACCGCCCCTTACCTGAGGCTGCTGCTTCTCCTCTATTGGGCCTTTATGTTCCTCCTCTTGGTTTCTCTTTTGGATTGCATGTTGCTTCAAACAAAATCACTAACAACATATGGCCTGTTATGATTCTCTTTTCCCAAACTCTCCCATTTTGTGTATTTGTGACACACTGCAGATTTTGTGAAGATTGCTTCATAATATTTGTTTACCATCTGCTGCACTCTATTTGGTATCTTGCTAGGATTTTTTCCTCCATTTTAAGTGACATTAACAAAATCCAGTCAGTACATAGACTTTCTGGTTCTACTTTTGCTTCCCTAATGTGCTGGAAAATCATATTACTATGCTTCAGGCAACTAGAGAAGCCTGGAATTCTCATTGTGAACCAGTGTATCAGATTTATCGCTGCACCTCTCCCCCGCCCTCTTCTTGGTCATATCCAGTAATGCTTTCTTGGTCAGATGGCAAAGAACCTCCATGTATAAGACAAAAAGAGTTCAGATTATTTTTCCCACTTCTTTGTACTTAGTATCACTATGTTCTAACATTCTTCACCAACACATACACCTTTGAAGCTCTTTGTGCCCTGTTTAGCAAGTTTTTGAAATTCCCATTAGAGTACTTTTTATGCTGATCCAGTTTGGTAAGCAAAAGCCAGAGACTTTTCTAGCAATGTAGGGAGGGCTAGCTTTTTTATGCAGAAAAGTATTTTATTTTCATGCTAAATTACTTTGTATGAACGCACACTTTTTTGCCCTTTAGTCATATTTGCCAATTCATTGTTTTTATTTTTTTTTGTTTTCCCTAGCTTTATTGAGATATAATTGGCATATAATGATGTTTAAGGCATACATTTTCTTTGTTTGATAGAGTATCTTGGAAAAATGAGTTCCCCATAGCATAAACATTTTTAGCCAATCACATAATTACCATTTTCTTTTTTGTGGTAAGGACATTTAAGGCCTATTCTCTTAGCAACATTCCAATTTATTATAATGTATTATTAACTATAAATGTCATTCTGTACACTAGATCCCCAAACTTGTTCATGTTGTAACTGAAAGTTTATGCTCTTTGACAGCTCATTTGACCCACTTGCTAGCCACTGGTAACCATTACTCTCTATTGCTTTGAGTTTTACTTTTCAAATTCCATATATAAGTTGTATCATACAATTTTTTATCCTATTTCACTTAATATAGTATCTCAAGATTGTCAGAATTGTCACAAATGGCTTTTTTTTTGTGGTTGAATAGTATTTCATTGTGTACATCTTGGATTGTTTCACATCTTTTGAGCTATTTGTCTATTTATAGACACTTAGATTGTATTCATAGCTTGATTGTGGTAAATAATGATGCAGTGAACATGGGAGTGCAGATATCTCTGAGATCTCATTTTAATTTCTTGGATATATACTCAGAATGGAATAGCTAGGGAGTTGTATTTTTTTTTTTTTTTAAGATTTATTTATTTGTACATACAGAACTGGGGTACAGGCCAGAGGCTCAGGGTGACGAGAAGCTTCACCAGAGACAGAGTGGGGAGCAGAATAGGTAGATCTATGAAGTACACTGCTGAGGGGAGCAGCGGGCGGGTCAGGAGAGGTCTGCCACGCCATGTGGTCACCTCCGGGGCAGGCGGGAATCGAACTCATGCGTAAGTGGCTTTAGCTTTTCAGTGCTGTGCTTTAACCCACTGCGCCACCAGGGAGGACCGGGAGTTGTATTTTTAATTGAGCAAACTCTATAGATGGATTTAAGTTACTATTCTAGAATCTGTGTCCTCTTTTTACAAATTATAAAAAGATTTTTCATCTCTTTTACAAAACTCCAAGCTACTAAACTCCAAGTACTTTCTCATTCCACAAGAATAATACCTTGTTGACATCTTGTGTGTATAGAAATTTGAATATAAGCAGTCCTTAGTAGCCACCATCTCTGTAGTTAGCTCTGATATAGAAATGAGATTTATAAAAGTGTACTCTGTTCAGGATGGCAGTTTTACCAAATTTAGGACTTCTTCAAGAACAAATCATTTTAGCCCAGATCTAAACAAAGAACTAGACATGATTATAAAACAGAAATGTTAAGTGCTAACATGTATGGTAATATATACTATATATCCCTTTAACTCTGTGTGTCTTTCCTTTTCCCCCCTGCATTTACTTATAAGAAAATTCTTTAACTCTGAAAATACCAATTTTTAGAAACTCTCCCTGTTTCCAGAACTAAAATATTTCTTTAGAAATTTGTCTCTATAGTCTGTGCCAAAAGGAAAAAGTGCTAGGTCCTTAGGTACCACACATGCACTCTCACTTTGTTGCTGAAAGTGACCACTGTGTCCTTTCATATTGGAATCAGGCAACTCTTGGTAGCATTATACTGGTATTGACTGTCCATCACTCCTAGTTATGTAAATATTTAAATGGTGTGACTTGATGCTGATTTACATTGGGTTGGGAAACTCTGCTGGTGTGAACCAGGATCCAGGAACAAATGCTTAGGAGAGAAAACCTCAGGGAAGGCTGTTGCCTTGGTCACTGCATGGAGCGGCTCAAGTGCTGGTTTCCACCGTGTTGTCAGATTGCTATTGGCTCCTGAGGAGAAATGGAAAATAGCATTTTACTCTAAATTAGGAAAAAAGACAAGTGCCCTCCAAGGGTCTCTTGGTCTTCAAAATTGTAGCTGGATGGGAGGGAGGGCCCGCTGAGGTGTGGTAGCTGATCTGAACTCCCTGTGACGTCAGTCACTGTCCCCAGAGCATGTCATGGAGAACATTCTCTTTTGAGGGAGATTTGTCTGCCTCTCTAGGCCTGGAACAGCTTTTCTGCATTTGATCCAATCAGCAATTTGATGCCCAAGAGTGCCCCCCAAAATGACTGTTCAACGAGGGCGCCAGAACAGAGGCCTCTGATGGGAGCCTGCCAGGCTGTGTCCTTCCTTCAGCTCCTTCTCTGTCATTCTCAGAATGGTTTTGGCATTTTTCTTTCAATTGCTTGTTTACATCTACCACAGAGGCTGTTCTCTGTTGATCGATCTTTATCTTTAGAAGGATGGACTAGCTAACTGAATTCTTAGCAATAGTCAAAAGTCATGGGGATTCCTGCCTGACAGATAGTGTGGGTGAGTGACTAGGTGGGCAGTTCCACTTTGGGTTAAAATGAGATTTGATGTTTCCACATGGTCTTCAGGCTCATAAAGTAGTTTTGAAGACATACTGAAATAATTATGTGGTTTCTAGATGTGGCTGCTTTTATAGTACACTTACTCAAATGTAGCATTTTGTATCTGTATTTCATAAATTCTTATTCTGCAGCTTTAAGACTATCATATTATTTCAAAATAGCATAAATTGCCATTTGAAGCTTATTGTCGTCAGAGAGTAGTACCCAATACAAATGAAACTGCTCAGAGAGAGAAAAAGCTGTTAGCGTGGACTGTGGGGAGAAGCATACCAGAACTGCTTTACCCAGTGTTAGAATAGGCTTACAGTAGGCTTTTGGTTCTTCTGTAAAAAGGAACTGATAGTAATCACCCCTGTCCTCATCGTAAGATTGTTGGGAAGATTTTAAGGAGGTAGTGTGTGTAGTCATGTTCAGTAAGTGTTAGCCATTTTATTATGGTGTTGTGATATGATAGATGGCTTGGGAAATAAGAAGAATAGAGAAGTGGAAGCATACAGTACTGAGTGGGACAGGAATAAAAGTTCTGACAATAGAAAAAGACTGTCAGAAAAAACTCTCTTGGGTTTTTAGTTCTCCATACCAAACCTGTTTGGTCTTTCTCTAGCTATACTTAGTTTAATCTAGATGCATAACACAAATGACATCTGCAGCATTTTAATTTTCAGCTATTCCTAAAATGTTTAGCTCTTTATTGAGATTCTTACAGTAAAATAACAAACAAACCAGTAACCTTGATATCCTCAAAAATATGGTGTTAAGGATTTGGATAGCAAGTTGTAAAAACCAGTTAGTTGAATTGTGTCCCTTCCTGACATGCTCATTAAAAAAATACAAATCTTGGGCCCTCCCTGGTGGCGCAGCTGGTTAAAGGACAGCACTAACAAGCTAAAGCCACTTCAGCACGAGTTCGATCCCGCCCAGGAAGTGATCCACCTGGCAGAGAAGACCTCTCCTGACCCGCCTGCTGCACCCCTCAGCAGTGTACTTCGTCAGTCGGACTGTTCTGCTCCCCACTCTGTCTCTGGTGAATCCTCTTACTGCCCCTGCACCTCTGGCCTGTACCCCAGTTCCATATGCATAAATAAATAAGTCTTTTTAAAAAATGCAAATTTTATCACTTACATTTTGTTGCTTTTTAAACAGATGAAGATGAAGATGGTGATCGAATTACAGTGAGAAGTGATGAAGAAATGAAGGCAATGCTGTCATATGTAAGTACCTTACAAATGAGGGCGATTTTTTAAATGTTTATGGAATAAAGGATGCTGTTTCTTATTCTAGTGAAGATATATAAGTGAGTCATAGTTGCTGTAACATTTTTCTATATAATATAACGTCTTCAAAGATTTCCTCACGTGAAAGTTAAGGCCATTCTTTTCAAAAGACAGTTACTGATCATATCATGAACATTAAGAATAATGCATCTTAATGACTTTTGCATTAGGTATGGTGCAGACTAAATGGACTATCAATTTCCTGTATTTTTTATGCAGTACTTAAAGTAACGGCTCATTAAAAATGAACCCCTGGGCTCTAAAAAATTTTTCAAAATCTACTTTCAACTGGAGATCTCTTTCACCCTTCCAGACAGATTATAGTTATAATGTAGCTGCAGGCTTAAATGGATACACGATTTAAAGATGTACTCTCAGTTATTTTATGCACTAACCATCTTCCTGCCCCCTCCCCAAAATGAACTACGGGGTTACTTACTGAATCAAAATCATTTGAATATATCTTGAAATGATTTTTTCTTTTGTGTTTCAAATTCAGTGAACATTTGCATTGATGTTTGTCTCAGGACTGAAGTAGATAAACAAGAGAAAAGGGAATATTTCTAAAAACTTAATAATATTAAGCTTGAAAAATTCAACTACAATGAAGAGACATTGCTTCCCTGAGTCTTGGTTTGTGCTTTCTCCTCTTCATTTTGTTGTATTTGAGTTTGCAATTTGGTTACACATCCTTCCCTAGTGGTCTGGTGGAAAGAGCTTTGGACTAGAATTGGGGAGACCACTGCTGTCCTGCTTTGTGGCCTTAGGCAAATCACTTAACCTTTCTGTGCTGTAGTTGCCTCATCTGTCAATCGAGGATAATAATACTTGTCCTTTCTACTGCACAGGGTCATTGTAGTGATCAAATGGGATAATAGATGCGAAAGCCCTTTGAAAAGTTGAAAGTTCTATACAAATGCAAAGTGATATTATGGAGAAATGATGGAATCAGTGCCTTTGGCTTTCTTTTTGAGACTAATCTTAGCTAACAGTTAGGCAGTACATTTTTGATAGACTTCATCTTCAACCAGGGTATTGTTTCATTGTAATGAAAACTGTAAAATATCTGTATGGGTGTCCGCCAATACTTTAATTTAGGGTAGCAGGAAAGAGAACAAGAAGAATGGCATGATTAACAGAGCGTTGCATTCAGACCAGCACAGAGTAGGAAAAGTCAATTTCCCATTGACTTCCCATTAACTTATTTGAGAGTCTTTGTGCAGTGAGAATTTAGAGCAGGGCTCATCAGTACCTTGAAAGGCAGAGTAGGGTTGTCTGCTGAAAGGCCCAGCACTGGTATTGATAAATTGGCTAGGTCTCCTGAGAATGTGACATGCTTATTTTTAGAAAACACGTACACAGATGGGTTCTAGTTTTTTCGACTCTGTCCGTGGCAGGGAACTGACATTGGTGTACTTTCATTATTTCTCTGATGTAACCACACTCAGAGATGTGTTTTCAATATTGTACTTTTGGGAAGATCTCACAAATTGTGGTTTTTGAGAAATGGTACTGCCTGTGAGCGTAGTGATAATAATAATCGTTGCTGTTTCAGAGTCCAGAGTGCTAACCATTATACAATGGAACCTCGTTGCTGTTTCTAAGTGTCTACTAGCTACTAGATGCCTTACGTGGTTAATTGCCTCTGGTTTCAATAATTACTCTTTGAGGTGGACATTGTCATTTCTTTTTTTAGATGAGGAAGGTGTGTTTGAGACATTGCCAGGGACTATGAGCTTGAATGAATGTGAATGTAGAATTTAAGTTCAGCTTCTCTTTTTGCTGTTATACATCATTTTTCTCCCATCCACCTCTTTGTACATTAATACATTAGTATTGGGTCTTCACCACTATTAAATTTGAATGATTTCTCGCTGTATAACATGTCCCTATGACTAACGCCCATTTTCTCAGATGCAATATGTGTGTGTGTGTATGCGTGTGATAGGGAATTATAATTGTTCTTAAACTTAAAAGTTTCTTAGACTTATTGAGAACCACTTTTTAGTGTAGAAAGACATTATTCCTAAATATTTGACTTTGATCGATTAATCAATTTTTTCATTTTTGAGTTGAAGGAAAGCAGAGTCATGGTATCTTAGTTGTGCCAAATGTAAAAACATTAATAAAATAAAGAAACTAATAAAAATTATCTACCATTAACCACTCTAAGTTTCTCCTGTTACTCATAGGAAGAACATTTATGCTTGATATGACTAGTTAGGTTATTTGGCAGGGGGTGGGAGGGTGGAGGGTGGTGATGGGAGCAGTTAGGAACATTGTTACCATTAATTTACATGAAAAAACCTTCAAATAGTCCCAGACCAATAAATAACCTACCAACCCATACCAAATAAGAATGTTCCACTTTAAGATAGCAGGGGAAACATCTATTTTATTAAAGGAAAATACTGAGAGTCATTTAAAGATTAAAACAGTGGGCAGTCCATAATCTCAAAAGGAAGGATGACTATTAAAGTGAGTGAATTTATTTTTATGTAAAATGTACCACATTACTCTTGTTTTTATTAATTTGCTATGGATGGTGGTGAAAACCTTTTTTTTTTTTTAATGGGCAGTGATTCCTGTATTGTGTTTACTAATTCAAATTAACAATTATTTAAGGATGGGAACCTGAGGCCCCTCAAAAATTTTAACTTAAGGTAGATCTCTACTGTTCTCATTCTGAGTGTTTGAGAAAGGAATTTGAAAATGAAACTGAAAATAACCCTGAGAAAGATGAGTTTTAAGTTGGTAAAATCTCAGTGGATTTCCTTTTCCTCTTATTTGTGGAAGTAGCCTCTACCATCATGTGTTCTTGGTTTAGACACATTTTAAAAGTAAAGAACAGTAACTTCTTTCCTGAAAAGTGCAAACTCGATTGGTTGGCTATCATTTTGATCTGTTTTGGTTTTTATGGTTGAAAATTCCTTTGGGTTCCAATTTTGTCATAAAGAGAACTATTTGAACTTAATCTTACAGTGGATTTTGTTTGATAGTCCTCAGATGTTGGATTATTATTAAAAACCTGCATTGGTCTTTATTTTTTGGGTTCAGTTTGGCTCTGAAAAATTTTGGTTCCAGAATTTGGATAATGGCATAGGACAGATAATCACATATTTACTAGAAAGAAACAGCTGCTTGTTTTCATGTGGAATTCAATAAATTTGGTGGTTACCTTAGTAGTTCTCTAAAGCCACGTAAGAGAAATAAAACTAGGGACATTTTTCCCTTATGTTCTTGATCGTTTATCTCCATTGATAACAAGGATTAAATAATATCCTGGATCTCTTCATAATATTAAAAAAAATAATTTGCAACAATCTAAGCTAAAACTTACAGAAGTAGTTTTTTTTTTCCCTTGGATAGAAGCATTTTCTGGCTGTGGGCCAACAGAAGCTTAAGTTTTTATCAGTAATTTAAATAGATTTTTGTATTAGACCTGAAAATGTTGCCTTTTTAATTGAAAACTTATCAATTATTTAAATTGCTTGCAGCCTTAGGCTGTTAATTTTATGTGTACCATAATAATGGCATACAGCGGTTTCTGATACATGTGACACATGGAATATCACATTGTGGTGAGGATTTGTCATGGCAAGAGGTTGTTGTGTGCTGTTAAATAATAACCAACATATTAAACCAAAGTCTGTTGCCACACATTAGTACCATTTTATGTAAGTTATTTAGAAGTTGTATTCTTTTCTTCATTAGATATATTTTTAAGAGATAATGAGAAGAAAACAAAGCTATAATAAATTGTCTTTTAAGAAAATGTAAAGTAATTTGGTCTCCAAGGAGATATTTAATGTATTGAGAGAATTCAGCAGCCAAGTGTTATTACAGCACCATTGTGATAGCTCTGCGTTTTGTTATGAGTTTGTGTTAATCAACAATCTGTTTTTATAGGGTAGTTTCTTGTAAGTTATGTTGCTAGAATATTCCACTTCTGGGATCATGGCTTTTCCTCTGACACTATTGTATCTTTTTAATTTCTCCATAAAGTATTTTTTTAATTAGAATTTGAAATGCTTTATTAGAAAAAAAATGCACCCAACGTACATACTCTGAAAACTAAATAACTGATCATTGCTAATTATTTAAAGGACTCTGTTAAAAATTCTGCTAATGTAGTTTACATTTTATTTTGTTGTTCTTATTTTCCTTCCATTTTTCTAAAAAGATTGAATATAGTATGCTGCTTTTCTTCTTCAGTCTTTTTGTACTTGTTGACTGGAAGGACTAACTTCATTTCCTTATAGCATCAACCAGCACTGCTGAGTTTTGTTTGCTGATTGATCATACTTTATCTATCACTGAGACTCAGTTCTAGAAAGGGGTGTTATTAGTGTTAGTGTCTGCTTCTGGGTGACTTTTCATTAAGAAACCCAGCAGTACATCTTGTTTTGTAAATGGATTCATATTTGTTTCTGTTCAATTTTGTGTCTAGTGAAGGATTTGTTATACTTGGCTCTCTTAATGCTGAGAGGCTTGCATGAGTGACGTGTCCACACTCTTTCTTGATATCATTTTTCCACATTTCCAGAAGAGAACGGCATGAGTTTTAACTGGAATGCTTCCCGTTAGGGCAGAGACCTTGTGTTTTAGTGGAGTGTAAGTATTCCCTTTGGTGTACTTGACCATAGCGTACGTTGTTAGACTTTGGGTCCCCTGGGAGAAAATACTTTTTGACCTCATAGCACCTTGTAAATCGGGATATGATTAGTTTTGTCCCATTATGCATCATTTGGAGATTGCCTCTTGGTTTTACAGATAAGGAAATTAAAGTCCAATGAAATCAGATTCTATTAGAGGTCACATTGTTAATGAATGGGAGGCCTACACTCAGACCCAGGTCTCTTGATGCCTAATTTTTTGACTCGTGGAGATTTTAAGTATTATTTTGGTCTTGGCATCTTTGAGATTCTGTTGAGGAA